CGGCATACGAGATGGATGTTGGTTACTGGTGTTCATACGTATACTTTTATAATGTATTATACACTTCTAGCTTGCCCTACTCTTCCTCTTGAGCAGTTCCCCTTTACTTCATACTTGGTACTTCTACCAGAGACCAGGGAGTTTGAGGGTCCTGTTCAGTATTTTAGCTATGATACAAAATGATGACAAAAATATATTTTCTGAAACCATACAAAAAAGTATGTCTTGAAAAAAATACTTGCATTTGACTAAAGCTTCTTTGCACCATATAAAAATACTTGAACCTATACTTGTTGACTGTTTTTAAGTCAAGATTAAATATTTCAAACAAAAAGGGAAATTGTATCATACTAAAAATGTAAGTGGTTGTTCAGATCTTTTTGAAGCGGTGATCCGTGGGAAGATATGAACAATTAGTATCTTACCTGTTACAAATAAATCTTTGCACAGGCATCAATTTGGAGAAAACGAGTTAAATTCTGATCAGACGAGCTAACAACTAATCTGAGCAGAGGCAACACTGAAATAAATTGTTTTTGTCCCAAAATAATTTTAATCTAAACAAAATCCAGACCGTATGGGACAACCATAAATTAATGAAACTTTGCATCACTGACAGTTTTCTATTACATGTTTATATGCAAAAAAGGCTTTGATGTATTTTTAAGTGCAAATAGATGTAGCAGCAGAATCTGTAGCACTTCCTACAACACCTCTGACAGAAACATAGTAAAATTTTTGATATAACAAAGCACTGAAAATGGTGTTAAGGTTTATTAAAATAGGGTTTATTTGCAGTCTGAATTGATCTAGAACCACGCAGACTGGCTGTTAGCTTGATAAGAAATAAAATTTGTTTCTTCAAACTTAGGCTATTGAAAGTTATTTACAACAGGTAAGATACTAACTGTTCATATGATTTCTACAAAACTCTTTTTTACCAGATGTGAACTATCTCCAAAATTAAAACCCATTAAAATATACATATTTTATATTGTATATAATGCGCCTCTGTGCACTACATATAAACTTTATTTTAAACAGTGACACTGATGTACTGTTTTGGCAACATTCCATAGAAACTATTGTACATTTTGAACGTTTGTGCATTCATCTGTGCGTTTTCTCCACAACACTGTTTGTGTTGATACTTCTGCACCCCCTGGTGGTTTGTCGACTTGAACAGTTACTGATGTCAGAACTGGAATTTTACAGCAGCAGCTTTCTGCTCTGCTGCCTCTGTAAAAAGCACCACACAGCAGAGACAATGAATGATGCCTTTTTTTTTAACTTTAATTACTGCTCTGAAAATCCAAGGACACACAAGAAGAAACACATTTTTAAATGGGCTTTAAGTCGCAGGCTTCCAATCTAAATGTGTAGAGTTCCCGTTCTGCGGTTTTAAATTGTACAAAAATGCCTCTGTAGCTGTTCTGCATGCTTGGTTAATAGCAGATTCTGTAAGTGGGAGAAACAATGGTACATCCTCAGCATTCATCGGAAGAGAACTGGAGGGAAAACAAGGACAAATGCTAAAAGTTTTATTACATCTTCTGCCAAGCTATCAAACTGTAAAGAGTAAACAGAGGCACTTGAACCACATATTTAATGAGCTTTTTTGTTGTTTTGCTGTATTGCAGGTAAAGCCTCTACAGGTCAACGGACCCTGACTGGTTGGAGACATGTTCTGAGCGCGACACATCAGTCATCATGAAAGGGTTAGGAGCCAGCCGCAGTCGTCACCTGTCTGACTCGTGTGAACCGACGGGGTGTCCTCAGAAGCCTTTGTGCCCCATGGCATCTGACCCTCATGGCTCCTTCTTGTTGAGCCCTACAATAAACCACTATGGCACTCTGGACCCACATCTCCACCACTGTACTCCCACCAGCCCCACATCCCTAACCACTGACTGCCTGCTGCCCTTTAGCCAGATTCCCAACAGCAGCACTTTCCCTCGCCTGCACATTACCCCCCAGGCTGACCAGTTCGACTGCACCCAAGCCTGCATGGCTGGTGGTGGAGTTGGACAGGGCAGCAGGGCAGGCCTGTCCACCTCCTTGTCTTTGGGGATGGGCTTGGGTCTGGGTCTGACTGGTGCTCCAATGATCACAAGCGGATCGGCCACCATCTCCTCTGCAGCGGCAGCCAAGATGAACCGTCTACCCTCCAGTCTTTTGGATCAGCTCGAGAGACACCTGCCCCTGCAGCGAGACGGCTTCAGTACACTGCAGTTCCACAGAGGACGCATGTCCAAGCAGCGCAGCGAGAGTCCGGGACGGATACGCCACCTCATGCACTCTGTCCAGAAGCTGTTTGCCAAGTCCCAGTCGTTAGAAAACTCAGCTTTGAAAGGGAGCATAAACTCTGCTGGAGGGAGTGAGGATGGGGGGAGGCAAAGTCGCAGGAGCAAGAGTAAAGACAGGGCTAAGACCGAGGGACCTAAACAGAAACCTAGACCTAACACATTAAGCCTCTGGAGCTCAGATGATACCCTGGACACTGACACTACCAAAGCTGGCACTATAGCTGTCGGTTACCGCAACCCACTGAGCATGATGACTCTCAGCAGAGCAGTGTCAGACAGCCAGACGACTCTTAGACACATCCCGCAGGGCTACAACACAATTTCTGCACATTCTCTCAAGACCTCAAAAAGCAGCAGCGACCTCAAGTTCCTGGTGTGTCCATCAATGCAGGTGGGAAACAAGGAGGACGAGCTCAGGACCAGGGGGAGCAAGGATGACATGGTGATGAAGAGAGGCACGTGGTCCACTCTCACTCTCAATCAGGCCAGACAAGTGCTGCAGAAGGGCTCCTCTTCAGTTAACAGGACTCTGCTGAAGACAAAATCATGTCATCAGGACCTGACTCAACAGTTCCTTCAGGTAGGATGTCCAGAGCACTCGTCTTACATCACATTTTTAATTTATATAGATCACATGCATTAGTCTGATTTGAACCTTGGATGTTCACCTGCCTTACCGGACAACTTTATCAGAACTACTCATATTTATCACTCATCACCGTTAAAAATGGAAATTATATAATTCCCATTACTGGATGTAGTTGTGTTAGTTTGTCTGTTAGCAAAATATCTCATGAACCCAGTGGACTAATTTTATTCAAACTTTCAAAAACTAATTACTGGCTATACATTCAAGATGGCTTCCACAGCTCATAACCCTTAGCAAACATAAAATGTTTATAAATCAGCTAATTAGAAATGAACTGAGTTAAAATCTGGAATAATAGTAGTTTATAGCCAGCCCCAACACATATTATGAGTTCTAACAGATTGCACAAGATCTTTGTTTAAAATATAAATATAGACTGTACTTATAAAGCACCTTTCTATCTAGATACTCAAAGCTCTTTACAACACAATCTGTGTCCTCATTTACCCATTCACACAGTTCTCTACTAGATCTATACAAAGATAATCTGAATCTGTAGAGATTAATCGGTGCTTTATCACATTCATACACCGATGGGACACACATCGGAGGCAATGAGGGGTTCAGTGTCTTGCCCAGGGACACTTCAACATGTGACTGCTGGTGGAAGCAAACCCCCAACTCTCCCACTGGAGGACGATTGTTCTAACCGCTCAGCCACAGCTGCCCTGAAGAAACTTAACAAAAGATGGCTGCCACAGCTAACTGATACTGGCCAGCATAAAACTGATTATAATGCTCTCGTTTTTTTATTTTTATTTTTTTTATTCTGAGTTTAAATTTAGTGTGGTAGTATGGTTTATAGACTGTCCAATTAAAATCTTAATCTTATCACAATTATCCATATTTATCTTAGAAGAACCATTGATAGATTTCTACACAAAAAAGTGATGCTAACTACTTGATCCAATGCCTTGAGGAGATTATCAGAATATTTGCAAGGCTCAGTTTTATATGAGCTTGTGTTGTTTCATTCCAGGTCCCCATGGAGGACTGGTCAGGAACTTTGGGTCAAGGACGAATCAAAGGAACTGAGATCCCATGCAGAAGGATGCGTAGCGGCAGCTACGTGAAAGCAATGGGAGACCCAGAAGACAGTGAGGAATCAGAGGGAAGTCCTAAACCTTCTCCCAAATCTGCAGCTCGTCGCCAGAGCTACCTGAAAGCCACCCAGCAATCTCTGAGCGAGCAGCAGCCTCCAGCAGCCCCTCGCAAGTGAGTCCCACAGCACAAAACTCAAAATCACCCCACTATAGCTTTATAGATCAGTTTGTATCTTTCTAAAAATGTACCTACAGTATATTGAAGCAAAAACCAGCCAGCAGGGGGGAGTATGTTGCCTCAAATGAATGTCCAGATCTGCTGCAGGAGTTAGAAAAACAAGCTTATAGAGGCTGATGCAGCTTAGTAAGACAACAAAAACTGACAAAGAGTATGAAGTTTATCTGCTGCAAGAGCACCAGGAGATAAAATGTTGCCATGTGTTCCTCCTGCACCCACATGGACAGGCCTCGCTGCTACGCTCTCATGCGGGACGATTATCTGTGGTCTCCTCTGCAAAGTGCATGCTCTATGCAGCACCTGAGGTCAGTGTGATCCCCAGACAGGCAGTGTGCTCCTCTTTCCCACCTCAACTTGTCCTGTTGCCTTTACCCACCCTTCCTTCTGCCCATATCTTCAAAGTAATTTTCCCTCTTAGTCTCCAGTACCATCCCTCACCCTGCAGGTACCCTGAGCCACATGTTTGTACTTCACTCTCAACCTGCTTCCTCAACCCCCTTGATGTCATAACATGCAAATTTATCCCACGAATAAGTCCAGCAACCCCCACGTGACTTGTGCGTGCACATTTTCACTGACACCACATGCTAAATCAGCAAGCCAGAACAGAGGAAATGGATTTCTCAAACTAAATAAAAGGTACATTTTTTAAAAGTCTGAACACTTTTGCTGATAAATAGTTGTTTCCTCTGTGCTGCTATTTTAAACCCAAACACAGATCACCACCTCAGTAGTGTTTAAACTTTAAACACCGATGGGGGATTATTTTTAGGAGAGTGATTCAAAATATCCCCCGAATATCATCAATTAAACACAACTTTCACTTATTCAACACTCAGAACTCTGAGAGACTAATTATTCAATTCACTTCCGCAGCTCCCTGCCATGTCTGAAAGAGCTGTCCACTAATCGAAGTCTTGATAACTTGGACTGCCTGGTGGGCCCCCTGGAGGTCCCCCCACGTTACAGAAATGATTTTAGCCAATGCTCCGGCACACTGGGCAGAAGCTTCGGCCCTCAGGTATGTCATAATATGAGCAAATTTGATTAATTTACTGTTGCTTTTGGCTTTCTGTGATTATTTCTCTTGAATAATGTTTCTCTCTAAAAACATTGAGAATAAATGTGATCAAGGAAAGAAAGTCTCTGGAGGGGGTAGAGATTGATATCAATCAGAACTCTAAAATTATAATAAAACAGTTATGAATAAATCAGAAACATAAAAAACTAGTTTGAGTTTGTGGATTGTCAAAGAAAAACAGCAGGGATGCAGAACCGCACAGCATGAACAAATGATGTAAAAATAACCACAAGGTAGCAACATTGTTACCATATTTAGACCATGTTTAATAAGATAGATGTTCCAGATGTGACAACTCGTGTTCTGAGAAGCTATTTTCAGCACCATGTGCAATAAAAACCGAGCTATTTATTTTTTTTTTTCTACACCAAGAGCAAAAATACCCATTTGTGTTGGTTATACAGTATATTGATAATAAAATGTATTGGCCTTCTCATGCTTTGCTGTTCATATTATTTAAAACAAATGTGCTGTTAGAGGACAGTTTTTAACTGAAGTGGACCTAGTTTTTGACTTTTGGGATTGAGAAGTAGTACCTCCAGTGACGTTATGTAGTACTTTTTATTTTGCTGTACAAATTCATATTAGGACCTACATCAGGGTCCACTGCAGCAAACCTACCACGTGTACGTAAAATCATTGGAATTAGCTTAAATAGTAAACTGTTGTTCACACTTTTGATTTATTTTAAGTCACAAAGAAGATTTTAGTGTAAAAAAGTTAACACTTTAACTGCTGGTGGTGCTTCTGTTTCAAATGCTTCTGAAATCAAATTCTGAATACATGACAATGGTTTATACTGATGCTTATTTTTGTAGTAAAAAGTCTTTGTACCATGTCCACTTGTGAGGATCTGGCCATGACTGTGTATTAGCCTGCCCTTTGCCCTTATCACATGATTCTGCACACCCTCCTTCAGGTATATGTGCAGGGCTGTGGGCTCTCGCTGCCATACTCTGAGGTAGAATCGCAGGCCGTGGAGGCTCTGGATCTGCCTGCACCCACATGCTTCCGCTCTCGCAGCCACAGTTACCTGCGTGCCATCCAGGCGGGCTGTTCCCAGGATGAAGACACAGCTTCTGTGGACTCCGAGACTCCACCACCAACCTCTGCAAACTACAACTCCAACACCAGTGAGTATCAGTGAAAGGAAGAGAGGAAGATCTGTAGATCACCTGAAAGGAAGGAAGTACTCAATGGGAAAATTATATCCCTTGGATGGGTGGATGGATGGATGAACGAACGGACAGACGGACAGACAGACGGATGGATGGATGAATGAATGGATGGATGGATGGATGGATGGATGGATGGATGGATGGATGGATGGATGGATGGATGGATGGATGGATGGATGGATGGATGGATGGATGGATGGATGGACGGACGGACGGTTGGATGGATGGACTTTAAATATTCTGCATTAACTCGTTATAATGTAGGGAGTTGCGTGTGTGCATGGCAGATTAAACAGTAATTACATGGTAACTGTACATGGTAATTATACTGCATAAAGAAACAATTATACCCACAGTATCTTGCATAATAAAAAGGAGTTCTGAAATGAAAAATATTGATACTATAAAGGCAGTAAACTCTTTAAAAAAAAACCCTGACACAATCAACATCCATCCTGATTTTTGTCTGTTGTTAACTGAAGCCATCAGATCCTGATTTATACTGTATTGTATTTTTGCAACCAGTGTTTGTGCACAAGAGATGTTGAGCTTTAAGTCCTGCCAACTCCCCGTAGTGTCACAATATCTGTTTTTTAAAGTTTGAAATAACTAATTACAGCTAAAAGTATTTAAAACAATGATTATTTGATTTATTGCTCATGTGAACATTACCAATTCTTTAACTAACCGAACCTCGTTCCCAGTCCAACTCCTCTGTCTCACAGTCAATAAAGTCTTTCTCTCCCTCAGTGTCTCTTGCCTCATTCATCAAACACCTTCTGTTTTGCCTTTGCTACGTCCCTCTTTGCTCTATATTGCATCTCTTCATATTCCTGCCTACTCTCTTCAGTCCCCTCACTGTACCATTTTTATTCTGACTAACCTCGTCCTCTGAAAAACTTCCTGCTCTTCATTATTCCACCAGATTTTTCTTGTCACCTTTTCTCTGTCCAGATCACACACCAAGTACCTTCTTACCTGTCCCTCTGATTACTGCTACTGTAGTAACCCAGTCATCTGGAAGCTCTTTCTTATCACCCAGAGCCGTTAACAGCTCCTCTTATTTCACAAGAGTCATTCTACACACAAAATTTGATGCTCCCTGACCATGCACTCCACTGCCACAACATTAGTCTCCAGTCTCCCTCAGGTTTTCTCTTCTACACCAAATGTAGTCTACCTGTGTACTCCTGCCTCAAGTCACCTTATGTTCCTCCCTTTTCGGAAATATGTGTTGACTACAGCCATTTCCATCCTCTTAACATAACCAGTCATCATTTGCTCTTCCTGTTTTGTTTTTTTTTACACCAAATCTGCCAATCACTTCCTCATCCCCTCCGTTTCCTTCACCAACATCTACATTCAGGTCTGCGCCGATCACCACTCTCTCTTCAATAGGAATACTTTATTACCTCATACATCTTTTCAGAATTTCTTCTTCTCTACCACACATCCAAACTGTGGAGCATGACCACTGATAAAATTCAACATCTGACCTTCTACCTTCAGACCAAGGCTGTCGCGATAAACAATAAACCAATTAATCACATGATAAATGAAAATTATCAACCTCATTTTCATTTATCAGCTTTATAGTTTCTTCATGTCTCTCTCTTTCTACTAAAGACACTGGATGACAAAAAGGCTTGACTCTGGTGCTCTTCAATGGCTCCTCCCTTTCTCTTTAAAATCTGTTTTAACAGTCCAAAATCATGTTTTTGGATCGCTAAAAGCAGCTAAGCTGAGAAGCTAAGCTGCGAGCTAAGCTAACTACCATACTATGCCATATCACTTTATTTATAAAGCACTTAAAACAGCTACAAAGCCAACCAAAGTGCTGTACAGACAAAACAACAGGTAACACACAAAGCAAAATACAAAATGAGGTAAATCAGAATATAGACATAAAAACGATGCAGATAATGACGACAAACCAGTGTGGAGCATACAGGATCAAAACACAGATCAGCTGGTGTTGAAAGCTACTGAATAGTAGTGAGTTTTTAAACGGGACTTGAAAACCGAGAGGGAGGGGGCCTGTCTGACAAACAGAGGTAACTCGTTCCAAAGTCTTGGTCCTGCTACAGAGAAGGCCCTGTCACCTCTGCACTTAAGACGAGTTCCTGGAACTGTGAGGAGCAAATGGTCCGCTGACCTCATGGAACGTGGTGGGACATACGGTTGTAGCAAATTAGAGAGATGGGGGGGCGACACTGTTCAGTGATTTGTAGACAATAATGATAAACCCTGGTTCACATCCAAACTAAGACAGCTTTGTCAGCAGAA